CCCCCCCCCCCCCTTTTTCCAGTCTTATAAGAATTTGCAATTTAGGGGTCCAAGCCTTGAAATTAAAGGTTCAGGATTGATCTTATCAACAGCAAACTAAAAAAGAAAATCAGACTTTGAAAGGATATTAGATATTCAATTGAGTATTTATATTTTTCTTAATAAGAAGCACAAACACTTTAGTTTGGCTAGTGTCTGTGTTTGACATGACACTCCGACTCTTGTACATGTATCAGACACTTATTAGCACAATATATGTGTTAAGACATTGGTTGTATAAATTCAATATATGTTCAACATTTGTTGATGCATATCAAACACGTTTTGAGACAGAAATACATCAAAATCATATTCTTGAGCATATAAATGTGCAAACTCATGGACTTAAATTTTCTTCTAATATAAAAATGATAATATTTTTTAAAATGTGTACTTTATAAATGTTTTTTTGTTGGGTCTGGGCTTTAGATCTTTACAAGGCGATGTGTCATAGATTTTGTGACGTGTCGTTTCTGTGTCTCGTATCTGTTTTTGTACTCCATAATTTTCTTAGCTTAATTTACCATCAAATTTATATCATTTATTATCTTCCCGAAAAGTTGGAGAATCCATCCTTCTGTGATACATTTTCATTAACTGTTGATGCCACAGCACAAGAGTCTCCAATGAACTAGGTGCTGGGAATCCGCAAGCGGCTCGTCGGGCAACAAGCGTTGCTATATTCCTCGGCGTTGTGGAAACCTCAATATTGACATCAACCCTTTTTGCTCTTCGTCGTGTCTTTGGTTATGCTTTTAGCAATGAGAAGGATGTTGTGGATTATGTGGCCTCCATGGCACCTCTGGTTTGCTTATCCGTGATATTCGACAGTATCCAGGGAGTCCTTTCAGGTTAAGCATCTCTACTATAAAAAACTAAATGCTTCGGTGAAATGTTATCAGATTCAGATAAAATTACGACTAGTTTTAAAAGTTAATATTTGTTAAAAAGGATACCTAAATTCATGTTAGCTTATAATGCTCTACAGTCCTTTTGAGTAGAGCTAGATTTAATTTTGGTCTAGACTTGACAAGTGAACAATTCATCATGAAGCAAGCGACGGTTGACAGTGTGGAGAGTTAATCTGAAAATTATTTAATTCTGGTCAAATATGTTCATCTGTACTTATTTCGAGTACAAGTAGTTGCAAAGTTGAAATGTTGTTTACTTAACCAGGTGTTGCTAGAGGATGTGGATGGCAGCACATTGGTGCTTATGTAAACTTGGGGGCCTTCTATCTTTGTGGGGTTCCAGTTGCTGCAATTCTTGCTTTCTTGGTGCACCTGAGAGGAAGAGGCCTTTGGATTGGTATACAAACTGGGGCTTTTGTGCAAACGGCGTTGCTCTCCTTCATTACCAGCCGGATAAATTGGGAAGAACAGGTACGTCTCTCTCACCTCAACTCTCTGCTCTAATTACTGATGAGGGCCTTGTTTTTTTTTAGATTTACGGTATCATTAAAGTTTGGATAGGTCAAATCATGTCATCTCTATTATTTTTTTCTTACAAGTTTCCAACTCTAATTACTGATGAGTATTCTGTTCCTTAGATTTATGGCATCATTAATAGTTTTAAAGGCCAAATCTAGTTATCTTAATTATTATTGTTCCTACTATTTTTTAAATTAATGACTTGAAGATTGGTGATGGAATCTTCTAAATTTGAAGACATTTGGGTAGCATCTTTAGCCATTCATTAATGAGGCAGCTTGAGCATAATTATATAGCTACTGTTATGCTTTTATCTGCAAGTGTACTGTGTTTGGCCATTGAAAAAGTTCTGGATAATTAATATTTAGATTGACGAAAAATCATGAATGAAAACATTTCGAGTAGAAAGTGTTAGAAATCACGTCTCTTCACAATGGTATGATATTGTCCACTTTGAGCATAAGCTCTAGCTTATGCTTTGGGCTCCCCCAAAAGGCCTTATACCAATGAAGATAGTATTCTTCACTTGTAAACCCATGATCTTCCACTAAATTAACCAATGTGGGACTCACTCCCAATAATCCTCGATCCTCAACAGAAAGCGGATATAGGTTGCAGACTTGCAGTAGGTTTGTCAGTAAATAATAAATGGGAAGCCACTAGAAAGCAGGAAGGTATTAGTAAATGGAAGGCCAAGAAATCCATGGTGCAAAGAGGTAGTTCAAGCCTTAAATAGGAGAGAAAACAAAGGTGTTGCTTGTCCTGATGTGTAGGTGGCATACTTTATAATTTATCAATGAACTTCGAAAAAAAGCCACTAGAAAGCAGGAAGCTATTAGGGTGTGTGTCAAAATGTCTCTCAAATCAATTAATCAATGGAGGCATTATATTTCTTTTGCCAAATCTCTTAAGCCCTCAAAGGTGCCTACTTCGAAGCACTTCTTATGAACATAATTTAACGTGAGTTAAAATACCATTTGTTTCTTGTACTTTGAAATGTCAAATTTAATCTATGTACTTTTAACAATAGAATTAGTTCTTACACTATGTTTATTGTTACATTGTCCCCCAAAAAAGAATGTTTAGTGTCTGTTAATTTGTACTTCATAAATTTTCATGTCTTGTATTGCAAGTAAATTATTGTCATTAGTTAATCAAATTCGTTAAAACTTAATTTTGAAGAACTCGTTAAAACTACATTTATTTAATTTTAATTACAAACTCTTTACTTGTATGGTCAATTATTGTATAAAAACAAAAGATAGGAATTTAGAGAGAATCTCCATAGATGCTTAGCTTGTGTATGGCCTAAAAATAGTTCTGAACTTTTGGAGTAGGTTCGTAAGGATCGGGTGTGTCCCTAACGTTCAATTTGACAGTAATTTAGTTTTAGGACTTTCCGTAGATAAAATCGACACTTAATTTTGATAGATTTTTGACGGTCAGGGATTAAACTGTTACATACGAACACTATTGGATGCATATTTTAGGGTATTCTCATGGCCATATTTCATTATATTTGCAGGCAAGAAGGGCAGGTGAGAGGCTTTCTATTTCCGAAGGCAGTTATTCAGAAGATTATGGATTTATTTGATCGGAGCAAACAGATCGGATTTCTATCTTTTTTTTTTTTTTTTTTTTTTTTTTTTTTTTTTTTTTTTTTTTTTTTTTTTTT